TTTCTCAAAGTTTGCAGTAGTCAGTTCAGTTCTGGTTTCTTTTTGGATTTTGTGTATTTAAAATATTGTCTTTCTCACTTTGGTGGTTCGATTATGATCAGGATCCAAAGATCTCAAAGGTAAGTTATCATACCTCTTGGGATCTCATTTTAATTTTCGTAGGCTACCAAAATTAAAAAATAATTAAATCGTAAAAAGAAATAAAAATTAAGACGGCGGTTTACAGAGAAGGCACCGTCGTAGTATACAGACGTGGATTCCATTATATTATACGACGCGGATTAAGAACAGTTGGTCGTGTTTAGTTAGGAGTTAACACGGCAGGTTTTTTGGTGAACTGTCGTCTTTATTTTCTACGTCGGTGGATTCATACCTGCTGTCGTTGTTTTTTGGTCAGATTTTAACTATGAAGAAATCCTTTTTCAAAACCGACGCTTTTTTATTTGTATGCGTCGTCTTTTAAAAATGCTCAACAGTAAGGCACTTATCCACGACGGTTTTTTTTATAGCGTCGTCGTTTTAAATACAACGACGGTTTTATGTTCTGCCGTCGTCTTTTCCTAGTCCTCTTTTTCACTTTTTGTAGTAGTGTGTCAAAACTTTGTGCCTAGAATTGGTATCTGTGACACTCAAAATTTCAGAGCTACTTACATTGACACCCCTTAAGATGTTTAGTATTTTTACAAAACCTATTGAGGTACTGGAAATGACACTAACACCTTATGATATTTCAAATTGTTTACACATAACTCCTTTTGTTTATTTTCCGTCATAAAATTGCTATTGTCATAAAGAAAGTTTCGCAAAATGACAAAATTAACCTCAAATTGTTAGATTGCATATGCACCTTCAAGGTCTAATATTTGAGGTTCATTTTGTCATTTAAAGAAGTTTTCTTGATGACATCATCAATTTTGGGACAAAAATTAATAAATGAAATTTTGTAGTGCATAGATTTTGTGAAAACACAAAAAACGTTGGAAGGTGGATGATCATTTCTCGTTGCTCTCTCGCTTACACAAGGAGAGTATCGCTAAGGTTTCCTTGGTCGCAGTGGTTGTCCTAGCTCTTTCACTGTTAATTCTTCCAGTTTTATGTCTGGTTTGCTATTGTCTCTCTATTTGCGTTGTCTAATTCTTCTTGGAATATGATTGAAGTATTTATGTTGTGGTGGGTTCGACTTATCTCCTCCTGCGTTCTAGGAAGGCTTTCCTTGGGGGGGCTGATATTCTTTCCTTGGGTGGGCTGATATTTGGTCATTTTTCTACTACATGTTTTGAAACGGCTAAACAGATGGAGATCGACGTCTCTGTTAGGTTTTCTCCTTCGATTTCTGAGGGTCTCTTTGATTTCTCTTGGATCTCGTCTGGATCTTTCTGTGTTTCATGAGAATTTTCACCGAGGTTCCTCCGTACTGGTTCGGCTTTTGTTGGTTGTCAACGTTGGCCTTGTGGGGGTGTGTTGTTGTTTCTCTATGTTTGGATCTACATGTGTGGGAGGCTTGGATGGAGTTCTCCCCTATGTGACAACTCTCGCTTGATATTAACTGATGGTGTTGGATGGAGTTCCACCACTTGTGTTAGAGATGGTGGCTTTGGACACAGAGGTGCAGCCAATGGATACTAGGGTACTCTCTATTAGCTTTGCTGACACGGCGAAGGAGACTATCCTTAAGGGGTCTCCCTAGTCTTCCTAATGTTTTTGTTGGAACGTTTGTGGGCTTGGGCATCCGATAAACGTTTCTACTATGATGATATTCTATTGGAAGTTCGTCATGCTAAGGGGCCGATCTTGATCCCCTCTGCCTTGTTGTTGGTTAGGGATCTGAATTAAGAAACAAGGAGATGGTATTTAGTACTTATGTTGGCTATGTTTTGACTCTCACGACATGTTGTTTTGCATTGTACAAAGAACTATGCTTGCATAGGAGGTCTTCTATGACAGTAATATGTTGTGGTGGGGATGTTCTTTGTTCGGCTGGTAGTTGTGCATTGTTTTGTCTAGTTTGGTGGAGATGGCGTCTGATGCATCTACTGGTTCTGTTTCAAATGCTCACGACACGTTATTTTGCATTGTACAAAGAACTATGCATGCATAGGAGGTCTTATTTGTTCTGCACTATACAAAGAACTATGCTTGCATAGGAGGTCTTATTTGACAGTATTACGTTTGTGGTTGGATGTTCTTTACTACGCTTGTAGATGTGCTTTGTTTTGTTTGGTTTGGTGGAGTTGGTGTTTGGTGCTTCTGCTTGTAGTTGTACTATGTCGTATTTCTTTTGGTGTTTGTGTTATTATGACTCTTTTGTAGTCCAATACATGTGTGGCACTCTTTTTCCTACTCCAGCATTTTGTCCAATATAATTTTTAGTAAATTGAGCTTAGACCCAAAAAATTCATTTTAAATCACCTACAACCCTTCTCTTTATTTTTCTATTTAAAATACCCGATTTTTTCAAATAATACCCGATGACTAGGATCCAACTAAGAAAGTTACCTAATATAACTTAAAATCTGATTTATTTTATTTTTTGGATTCCATAAGTACCCCTATTTATAAGTTAGCTGGAGACCTTAATTACAATATTAATTACCTTGCCACTCGACTGAGTATTTGTACAAGTAAAAAGGGTCATGCTAGGGAGACCAACTTGGGATACCAACTTGTGTACCAATTCTTTAATAGAGGTGGAGCCCACCAATACAATAGGTCTCACGCTCTATTAGAGAGTTGATACACAAGTTGGTATCCCAAGTTGGTCTCCCTATCATTTTCCAAGTAAAAATGCTACCCACTATACATTGGTGACTGGAGACCTTAATTACAATATTAATTACCTTGCCACTTGACTGAGTATTTGTACAATTGCGCGTGTCGTACAAGTTAGGTGGAGACCTTAATTACAATATTAATTACCTTGCCACTTGACTGAGTATTTGTACAATTGCGTGTGTCGTACAAGTTAGCTGGAGACCTTAATTACCATATTAATTACCTTTTTTGTTTGCATAGTTTCTATTTCTCTCAGGGTCTTCCTAGCTAGCTACTTCCTACTCTGTTATAGTATAGTACCGCTGCATTAATTCACCCAACATTGACTTGAAGCAAGCTATTGTTATATATTTGGGCTTGTCCAATATAGATCTCTACATTTTCTATTTCCTAAACATATACCCATCACTCTATAAATTTATGTGTAAAACCCAATTTCAAATGAATCAATTTTTTTCTCTAAAACTATTTTCAAATGAATCTATACCCATCAGACCTTATGAAAAACCATTTTTTTAAATGAATCTATTTTTTCTCTAAATAATGTACCTATTTTTTTTCTCTAATAATGTTCCTATTTTTTCTCTCCAATAATGTACCTATACACATTTATAGGTATATTGTAAAATAATTTACCTATGGGTAAATAATGTACCTATATTTTCTATAAATTATTGTGTACCTATTTTTAATTTATGAAAAATATAAGGAAATTTCAATTACAAAGTACCTGACTTAGTTTTTTTTTATTTTTTTTGGTAAATAATATAACTATATTTTTATTTTTAGACGTATATATTTATATTTATATTTTTCACAGGTACATTATTGGATATGTAATTTATATATATTTTTTTGGGTTTGCAATTTTCGGGGGCGATATGTGAGAGGGAATGACAACCAAAAGAAATGGAGTGATTGATATGCTATTAATAAGGGGTATTAATTACAATTATGGCAGTTAATGAAATGCTTGAAATAAATTATAAATAAATATGAAGTCTAGTGGCAATGATGTAAAAACATAGAAATACTACGACCTCTGATATCCTACTGGTCATTTAAATTTGAAATTGGGTTTTACACATAGATTTATAGAGTGATGGATATATGTCTAGAAAATAGAAAATGTAGGGATCTATATTGGACAAGCCCTAGAATTTTCTCTATAAATGGTTTAATGAGACTGCATTCCTACATGCAGGTTCCTTTATAATGATTTCTAATGATTCTAATGATATGCCCCTTTCCCTTTGAAAAAAACGTTGGAAGGTGGCAATATCATAGTACTGAACGAAACGATGCCGTAGGAGTGTGCCTTTCCTTGCACCTTCCTAGTTCCCTACCCCAACTGCATTTCTAATATCTGCATTAAAATTGCTCACCTATCTACATTTTCAAACCCTTTGAGTCTTTGACCAAAACAAAAAAACAAAAACAAAAATTTCGAACCCGACCCACCACATAACCCCATTCCCATATTAATAATGTTCACGCCATCTGCACATGCTGCATCCCTTGGTATAATAATTCATACCTCAATAATCTTATAAATAAACCCCCAAATACCCTACTCATACACACATTTTCATACACCCACTCAACCCCACACACATAGAGCCCCCCAAAAACATCACTCAAAATGCCAAAACTACCCCTCCCTCTCCTTCTCCTTTCTCTTCTCTACAACTTTTCACTGCTTTTGCCAACCTCTGCATCCTCCTCCCCCTCAGCCTCTTCCGCTTGCAAGTCCACCCTCTACCCGAAACTATGCCGTTCGATCCTATCCACCATCCGATCCTCCCCCTCCGATCCCTACAACTACGGCAAGTTCTCCGTCAAACAATGCCTAAAGCAAGCACGCAAGACATCCAAAGCCATCGACCATTTCCTTCAAAAGACCAAACACAAGTCGGTCCCCGTAAACCACAGCGAGCGGAACGCGCTGGAGGACTGCCGCGAGTTCTCGGAGCTCAACGTGGAGTTCTTGGAGGCGATCTCGACAAAGCTGAAGTCCGCCGAGTCGCTGAACGAGGCGCTGGTGGACAAAGTGCAGACGCTGCTGAGCGGCATTGTGACCAACCAGCAGACTTGCTACGACGGGCTCGTGGTGTCGAAGAACACAATTTTGGGAAACGACACATCGTTGGCTACGGCGTTTTCGAATGCTACGGAGTTGTATAGCGTGTCGCTTGGTTTGGTCACGCATGCATTGGCTCCTAATCTGAAGAAGCATAAGAAAGACAAGGGCTCTGATCATGGTGGAATCAAAGCACACAAAATTCGGGAGCCACTTGAAACCTTCATTAAGGTACGTATGATTTTTAAATTTTAGTTTACTAATAAATCTGAAATTTAATTGTCTAATTGTGGTTTTAGATTATTTAATAATTGGGCAAACGTTGTAGCATATCTGATAGCAGAGGCTACTTGCCTAGATTTGTCTAGATTAAATTTTAAAACAATGCATGGAATATATCTATAAACAAGTAGACTTATTTTATGCCACTATGTTTATGTGAGTGCGTGCTTAGAAGCTAGTAAAGATAATACGAGCACGGTAGTTAAGTAATTTATAAAAAGAGAATGGCAGATACAGTAAAGCATATGGGGATATGATATTGTTCGCATCTAGCTAGGTGGATTGTTTAAATATGTAGTGTGGCTGGGAAAATGAAAAGGAGAACTATAAAATGAAAAATGATTTATGGCTTAAAATTGGGTAAAATTACTTTAATAGTTTATTATTGTGTGATAGGATATGAATCTTATTTTAGATTTTTTGGCTGTTAGGTACTATTTAAATTCTCTTTTTTAATAGCTTTTATCTAAAAATATTAGGTTTTGCACATGGATTAGTTTTTTTTAATTGTTTAATTAAGCATTAAAAGGAAAAAAAAATTACCCACTAGTGTAGTGGTTTGGAGTATTTATTCCATCAGGCAAGGTCTTGGGTTCGAGTCCTAGCATATGTATAGTATGTGTGAGTTTAGTATACCATCACCCCTCTTAATAGAAAAAATCCTATAAAAAATTTTAAAAAAAGAAAAATCATCCCTCAACAGTTAACCAATGCCTAAAGTTTCAAACAAATTTTGTAGAATATATTGGAGTTATATTTTGTATATTTATTTCGTATTCCCAGTTTTTTAATTTCTAATTTATTTTTTAGAGAAAGATGATATATTGCATTCATAATTCACGTCTAAATGTCGTTAATAACACATAAGATTAATAAAAATACGTATATATTTAAGTTGAATTGTTTATTTAAGTCAACTGGGATCCTCGTGTGATTGAAGCAGATCTGGAGTAACGATAGATGAGTCAACGACTTATTATAAGAGGGCTTGGTCAATTATTATTATTGTGACTTCACATGATTTCTGCAGACTGCTGGGCCTCCCTCACCAAATGCACCACGCCACCTCCCCATCTTCTTTTTTTGTCAACCCACCACCCATTTCATTCATGAAGGCTTTAATTATTCAACAATTATAGCCAATCTTAGACAAAAAGTATTCTTAACATGTTAATTAAACCAATAATTATCTTTTTTTAAATCACAATCAGTTCTAAATCCTAATTAGGTTTAAGTATTTTTTTTAAGACAAACTCTATATTAGTTTAATTTACGCCGAGGCCAACTGATAAATAATTCAAATCTTTCTTTTTGGGATATATATATAATATATATTTTAGGTAATCGTCTCCTATTGAGGGATTCTTCAAATAAATTTTTTTGAGAGACACCCTTTAGAACCAACAATAAATTTGTTTTTAACTATATGAACCATCTATATTTTAAGTGTGCATTATAGATCATCCTTGTAAAAAAGTAGACAAATCGAAAACCGTTTTGATATCTAATTGTGTCGTACAAAATTAATGAACATAGTGTTTCTCAAATTTCAATAATTTAATTGAGTGGTCAAATGATATCGAATTCAAGTAATTTTTTGTAAATATGATCTTTGAATGAATATTTACAAAATGGACGGTTTGGATTAGTGAAATATAGTTCGGAGTGGGCCCTATAAGGATATTTATTAAATAAGCTTATTTGAGGATTCCTTAACTAAAGCTCAATGATATTTTGAGATATATATAATATATATTTTGGGATATAAACCAAACTGAATTAATCATGACTAAGCCTCTCTCCTCGAATATTTTTCTTTGTATTTGTTTTTTTTCTAGGATTATCTTTAATCTATTCTTTATTTTTTTTTTAAATTATATTGATTTTGTTACCGTTATTCTTTTTTACTTAGTTTTGGTGTAATCTCATTTAATATTATTTTTACTTGTCGTGTAGTATTTTTAACTTATTACATTTTCTTTATTTTTTTTTAATGGGTATTTGAGAGCACAATTGACATTTGGTTGGGAGTGAATAACGGGGGTTGTCCTGCACGTGAACATGTTTAATAAAACCAACAGGAGTTGGTCCAAGTGGAAGAGGCTTGGATCCTTTAAACAAGAGGTCCTGGGTTCGATCCCAGGCGCTTGCGAATAGAGCAGACTTTGTTGGGAGAGGTCCCCGCTTTGCGCCCGACAGTACCTCGAGGGTTAGTCCCCGCAATCGCGCGGGGGATACATTGGTTTTCACCAAAAACATGTTTAATAAACCTAAATCTTCGTCAATACGTCAAAATCATGATTGAATTAATGTAACACTTTGAGATAAATATATTGCAGGCTCTACGGAAAAATCCTGCCAAAAAATCTACGGCTTCACAGAGAGAGGGGCGGATTCTTGAGCAAATGGAGAGCAGTGGCATTCTAGTAAATGACACCGTGATTGTGGGCTCTTATGATACGGTCAACTTCACATCCATTGGAGAAGCCATTGCTTTTGCTCCCAATAATTTGAAGGCTGAAGATGGATATTTTGTGATTTATATTAGAGAAGGATACTATGAGGAGTATCTTGTGGTCCCCAAACACAAGACCAACGTAATGCTGCTCGGCGATGGCATTAACAAGACTGTCATTACCGGAAACCATAACTTTGTTGATGGCTGGACACCCTTCAATTCTTCCACCTTTGGTAAGCATATCACATTTCTTGTGCTCCTACTCTTCCCTTTTCAAAGTTTAGTTTAAAAACTTGTACCGGAATGTTCATGTTACGTCGCAGTGTTAAGTGACTAAAAAGTTAGATAATGGTTTTTATTTTTTAAGTTTTTAGATATATGTCATCTTTTAATTGGACCGTTTTGCCACTTAACATTGCTACTGCTACGTATGCCTCACAAGTTTTTCTCATCCGAGTGGTTTCCGCTTCTGTTTGAGATGTGAGTAGATTTTTAGTCAAACTGCATATATATTAAGGAAAATGCTAGAGATATCATTTATTGTACGGACAACAATTTTATACAGGATCCATGTAGCACTGCTCCAAAGTAAATGTATAAAAAATTGAAAATTCTTAACACCTTAAAATTGAATTATATGTTTGACTTGATCATGTTTATTTTAAAACTCAATTCTGTCCTGTTTGCAGCTGTTTCTGCAGAACGATTTGTAGCCATAGATATTACATTCAGGAACACAGCTGGTCCTCAGAAGCACC